CTGTATGGACCGGTTGCGACAGGCTATTGTGTACAGCTCTATATGAATAGAGGCAAAGCTATTATCACCGCCGACATATGAGCACTTCCAGTCACTTCAATCCAAGGGCAAGCAAACATTCATTCTCCCGTGACTCCATTTAATACGCGATTAAAAATTCAGATTACTGATAAATTTGACTGAAATGCGTCTTTTTGATTTGCGCACTTGTACATGTTGTAACCAAGACAAAAATATTTGATTTGAAATACAGGAGGTTTATTTCCTAATTCTACACGTTCACGCTGACAACTCTTTCTATAATGATCTATTTCTATGCAGATGATTGTCACAGCTACGCGATATTGAAAACAACTACCTACAGCCCATGTTTTGAAAACTGAGCAGACTCTGACTATATCTGTATGTGCTTGGATATAAACAACACACCTCCGTATTAAGTCATGTTGACAAACTATTTTTAGATATGGTATCCGCTACTCGAGTCACTCGAATTTACAAGTTTACGAGGGTGAATATTTATCTCACGTTATTTAATCTGGTTATTTAGATCGGTGGCATTATCACAACCACGGAGAAAGTGGTAGGAGACAAACAACTCACTTGGATATGGTCTTTGTAAAATGAAGCGTGCAGCGAGAGCAGTCAAATGATCAATATCGTTGTGCATGCGACAGCCATCATTCCACGTCAGATGTATTTCAGGTCCGCATCGGGCCAATCACGAACAACGTGTGTTTATAAATAACTGAAGTTACATATGAAAGACTCAAACACGCTACAGGAATTGTAGAGAAGGTGGAGTCCGGTAATCATGACTCATTGCCCCTTATAACATTAGTTTATCACTATAACAAAGAAAATATAAAAAAATATAGCCAATATCTAAAAAATATGCGTCATTTTGTATATGCATGTTTCTATTTACATTTTTAACTGGATTTTGTTTAGGTTGAATCTGTTATTTTTTCACAGACGTGATACATATTTTCAAGAGTTTCTCCTGCCTTGTCATAAAAGCAACCTTATAACAAGGTGCTTGTTCTTGCTAAAAGGTAAGATATTAAAAGTATTAAAAGCAATGTATGTGTCGTGGCTTTTCTAATCATGATTATTTTCAAAGAAATCTCCTCACATATATATCCATTCCTTCTACACAGTGATCTCACTGTGTCACAACGTTATCATGTATAGCAGCTTTACCTCGATGAGTCGAAAGAGCAACACAAATAATAGCATTACCACTCTGAGTCAAAACAGCAACATAAATAGCAGCTTTACCTCGCTGAGTCGAAACAGCAACACACATAATAGCATTACCTCACTGAATCAAAACATCAACATGAATAGCAGCTTTACCTCGCTGAGTCGATACAGCAACACAAATAGCAGCTGTACCTCGCTGAGTCGATACAGCAACACAAATAGCAGCTTAACCTCACTGAGTCGAAACAGCAGCATGAATAGTAGCTTTACCTCGCTGAGTCGATACAGCAACATAAATAGTAGCCTTACCTCACTGAGTCGAAACAGCAACATAAATAGTAGCTTTACCTCACTGAGTCGAAACAGCAACATAAATAGCAGCATTTCCTCGCTGAGTCGAAACAGCAACACAAATAGCAGCTTTACCTCACTGAGTCAAAACAGCAACATGAATAGAAGCTTTACCTCGCTGAGTCGAAACAGCAACATGAATAGTAGCTTTACCTCACTGAGTCGAAACAGCAACACAAATAGTAGCTTTACCTCACTGAGTCGAAACAGCAACACAAATAGCAGCTTTACCTCGCTGAGTCGATACAGCAACACAAATAGCAGCTTTACCTCACTGAGTCGAAACAGCAACATAAATAGTAGCTTTACCTCACTGAGTCGATACAGCAACACAAATAGCAGCTTTACCTCGCTGAGTCGAAACAGCAACACAAATAGCAGCTTTACCTCGCTGAGTCGAAACAGCAACATGAATAGTAGCTTTACCTCGCTGAGTCGATACAGCAACATAAATAGTAGCCTTACCTCACTGAGTCGAAACAGCAACATAAATAGTAGCTTTACCTCACTGAGTCGAAACAGCAACATAAATAGCAGCATTTCCTCGCTGAGTCGAAACAGCAACACAAATAGCAGCACTACCTCGCTGAGTCGAAACAGCAACACAAATAGCAGCATTACCTCGTTGAGTCGAAGTATTCTAGGGCCGTGGACATGGCATTTGAAATGTTTTGGTAGACATTTGAAGTTATATGAAATGTGGTAATAGTTTTTATGTACCTATTATATATGATAATACTAGTTCAGTTGCTTGTCGAATGCTGATTATACCGGACCGTTGTAATTAAGCGTATATTTGGATGTTCCAAGCAATTCGCGTTAAGATTTCATTGTATACTTATTTCATATCAATAGATCATCTATCATCTATCTTCATTCAGTAGACATAATTACAAACGTCTGGTGAATCGAATATGGTGTAAATGTGGTAATTTGCCAATTGGGTCAAATATTAATATAATGTAATAATATTCACTCCATATATATTCCTATTTCAAAATCGGGCATTAGATCTGCCCATATTCGTCTCAAAGATTTCGTTACCCTTTCTGATTAAATTACGGATAAAAGAGCAAGTACGAATCTTGGTTTCGTTTATATACCCACAAACATTTGTTTATCGGTTACTTTTCAAAGTAACAATTTGATCCCTGTTGATGATGTGTTTTCATATTTGTTTTGTTCGTGTGTAGTGACATTTGAAAGAAACATGTGCATTCGGTCAATATGTTTTAAATGAAGGACACGTGACCAGAAAAACAACATAATTACACATATTTGATCTGCAAATATTTTATTGTGAGATGAAGCTATCACAATGTGTTACAAATCAACGAAGAAATTATATATTCCTTCAGTGAGTACAATTTCATACACACCATATATCCTGCAAGGAATATATCCTGACAGATGCAAGAAATTGACACAACAACACTCTATTTTGACACAACAAACAACACGATCATTTCCATGTATATATAAAACATCTATATGTATAAAAGGATCATATAGTATTATCAGTACCCACCAGAAGTATATGAACTATAAAGGCAAACGTTGATAGTGAATTATTTTGTTTACATAATAACCGATTTGTATATATCCTATCAAGGAAAAAGAATCTGATACATTTTAATCATTGTCTGGATCTTTAAATACTAAGTTTCATAGTGTGTCCCACACCTGTGTATGAGCATATGGTTCATCAATGACACTTTATCTCTCAGTGGACCAAAGGTTGGTGCATTCAGAAAAATCACATTAACTTCTTATAAAAATGAACTGAAAAGGGAACATTAATAGGTTATTGAAACAATATCTTCAATCACATCGTTTCATGTCATACACAGACTGTAAGACTGGTTAGAACAAAACAGTGTTGATAAGTTTGCGCTTGAAATACAAATACCCAGTGACTGGTTGTAATAGATATACTAGTAGATATGACAAAAATCCTAAAACATTGGCAAGCCAATTCTAATCCCAGACAAAGGAAAAGTTATTACACAGTATGTTTGTGTTACCAAGTTAATATTGTGTACCAATGGTACAAATGATAATGTGTACACACATCTTTAGAAAACATCATGTATGCATATTTTGAATTCAAATAGAACATATTTAAACATATACATAATCAGATAGTTATAATGATACATTTAAAGACAGTATTGGCATCATAAAATATATTACTAAACAATGTTGTCCATTTGTCGACATTAGCTTATGTAGGAATATATTATGAATAAAGACATGACCAATTGCTGGATGTAATGACAGCATTAGCGCTAAGATAGATTTGTGAAACAGGGCCCAGATGTCTTCAACTTGTGTAAGACGATTTAAAGGAGATGTTGTTGACAAGATGTTACTAAACTCATTGCATGTTTCATTAGAAACATGAGAAATAATATCAGACCAAAATGAGAAATGAGTCTTACAATTCGACTTGTTTCCATGCTTGGTCACTGTCAAACTGTCACAACAAGAAAATACAAACTGCATTCAAACTTGTCCATCAAATCAATGTAAAATAGACAATGATAGTTCTTTCTCACAAATGATACTGAAAATACAGTCATATAAATACTTATCTACATTTCGTTCTCCAGAGCATTGTAGCTGAAGTTCGTGAGTGACGTATGTAACTAATGATACATTTGTGACAAATATTCATGATACACATACACGTGACAATTGATACCCCGAATAAGAAAAATCAGTGAATCAATATTTTGGTAAGTATAAATTAGTCATTTGAAATATACTGGCCATATATACTAACAATATAAACAATGTTGTACTTCTAACAATATACAAAGATCTATGAGGCAACATCAGTATTTGAAATCATAATTCATTGTTGAACATATATTTATATACACACAACTTAGAATCTGTCATTGATTACTGTATATTCTCTATATATATACAATTTCAGGAACATTCATTGAAACAAATGAATCTATCAGTGATTTTATATTTATATAGTTTAAGGGACATTCGAAGGACCTATCTATCATTCATCTAATATACATGATATGAGGCACATTAAGGCATTTTAATGAATATGCTATCATTGTCAAGTCATTGTCACTCTCAAGGATCAAATCATCATTTATTAGACACAAAACGACGGTTTTCCGGTATATGCGGGCTAAAATCCATCATTGATTATATGGATGTAAATTGAGGTACTTTCAGGTATTTGAAAGAGGTGAGGTGAAATTGGGTTCAACGTCGCGTCCAAGATTATTGCACTTATATAGCGACCTGCATGTACGTGTGTGTGTGACTGTTTGTACTAGTCCGGATTAATGCCGATTTATAGTGTTAGCTCACTGAGATACCATGCCGCAGTTTAACATGAATACCCCACTCAGACACAGTATACTGACTCCGAACCGACCAGTCCTTGTTTTAGCCCCTTTATGCCGAGCGCCAGACAGGGTAACAACAAGTACTAACTTTTAACGTCTTTTTGTATGACGCGGCCGTGGATCGAACTCCGTACCTTCCGCTCTTCGGGCGGACGCTCTACCACAAGACCACGAAGGCGGTCTATTTGAAAGAACTATCGTTATTATATATGCACACTGAGTCTCCGTCAGGAATGTGAAGGAACTATCTACAATTGGTCGTGCAAATACTATTTTAGCTATGTGCCGGTTTCTGAAATAGATGGTCTACTTTAGTAAATATATACATACAATTCGAGGCATATCTATAATCTATTTTCTAACACTACATCTTTTTCTTGTTTGAAGTTTGATAACTCATCATGAGTTCCAGTTACATTTTATAACCATGTTGCATTGGAATTCGTGGCTTTCCTTGACATCAGTATTTTAACGCCATAAGCCTTATGATCTGAATACATACATGCTTCTGGACTTTTATTGTCAGTTAACGCCTTTTCCTCGGGAAGATGGAATACATATTACCCACTATTCACCTTTTTTAACGTAAAAGTGACAAAATCCTTTCCCCATGTACATGTTCATGTTCATAAAAAATGGAGCAAACGAGTGAGCGATGTGGTATGAGACGAATGAGTAAGGATAAGCTATATGTATGTGCTAAAGTGGACTATTTCTTTCAGGCACGTACAAAAAAGCTCAAATTGTAGTCGTATGATCAATGATAGATACTTTCTTTCTATATTTGATTGTGACTCATTGTGTAACTACAGAGATGAACAGTTCCAGTACCGTAGTCATATACACACTGCATGTCTTTGTCACAATGGACGAATTATGAAGTATAAGGAATCAGGAATACATTTTTCTGAATTCTACAAGAGTCGCAACATTCATGATAAGTGACATTAGTTTTTAATGTGTAAATTTCACAATTTAAACATACGAGAAAATACTTGACTTCCACTTTGTAAAACATTCTCCTTTGGGGAAATTATAACCCCTTTGGGATAGTTATGTGTTATCATCGTGTGTGTCTGATAAGACTGGTGGAATCTTGCATTCATACTAACCATGAATCGAATGCTGATATATCCTACAAAACTAACAGTTGATTTTCCAGTTGCAACCTATTCCAACCTAAAGCTTTTCCGAATAACTTGTAACTTACGGGTAATTCATGCTGTCAACAGAACATGTCAAATGCAGCCAATCGTGTCCGTGAGTTGAATAATCCATTCTCCAGCATGATTTATCAAATAGAATACACTTTCTCACTATATGAAGATTGTCTGAACATTGTCAAACTAGCCATGCTCCGCGTTGAGACTGCATGATACTGAGACTGTCAAGTCTTGTCCTTGAGATGTGCCGCCAGATGGACACGGACAGATCCCCGGATGTGTGTTCTACAGACTGGGCAACGTTCTAGAGCTGGGGCGCACATCGCACATGCCACCAGATGCCCACAAGGGAGGAAAACGATGTTGGCAGGGTCCTCCAGACATATCTTACACAAGTTCGACTCTTTCAGCTGCTGTGTCTCTTCCTCTGTGGCCTTCAATTGTTCCTTTGTGCTTTCTGCAAAAAAAACACATATATCACCTCACTGTTAGGCCATGTCTCATCAGATGAATTTGGTATTTACCAGAAACATAAACATTGAGGGAGAAGGCGGTAATAAGTTAACACTTGTACCCAAATCCTTTGTCTTTTTGGACAATAAAATATGTTTCATAAATAAACATTCGAAAAGGATATACTCTTATTTAATATTAGGTACCGACAAGTACCGAAATGTAGTTATATTAAATCTTATTACTGAAAGTCTCTTAATTTCAGGTGAAAACAAGTACAACCAGAGCATACGTACTGACCGCAATTTTAAGATGCATTGACATATACCAGTATTGTTTTTTATTTGATATGGGAGGGGCAGTGGGGACCGCAGTGGTTAACCTTTTGCTCATCACGCCAAAGAACCAGTTTTACATTCCCCACACATGTACATTGTGTGATGGCCGGGATAATGCTTATAATGATGCTAAAAGTGGTCTAAAATCCAACTCGCTTTCCCATTTCCATTTGAAAGCTTCGTTTCAGAAAACAGTTAGTGTACAACTTAATCCAGGTAATGTTCATACTCACTTCTCCTAGCGGATGACTTTTTTTGCTTGGTAATGGCTATATTTCCGGATGGCATCACTGGCAAGCTTTGAAACGTATTTCCCTTCGACGCGGAGGACCCCTCATACCCCTCATCCTCATCGTCTGACACTGTGTGCTCAGATGCTTGTCTGCTGGGTCTCTGCCATGAGACAGTTTCATCAGCATGTCCCATTGGTATTCTTGCTTTCGCTGCACCAGCTTGAAGATGTTTCTGTTTGACTTGTTGGTTCTGTTCTTGTTGATGTTCTGCACCTAGGATTGAGATTGTCGGAGTCGATCCTGCAGCTGCAGCTTTGATGGTTTGGGTTGGGTCCTGTGTATATCCATTATCAATTGTCACTAATTCATTATTCCCTTGCAGTTCTGTTCCTGAGCTGGAGGTCGTCTCTGCCCCCGATCCAGCAGCTGCAGGTTGCTCATCGTAGTCGCCTTCCGCAGAAGCAGCCATCTCCAGGTCCTCCTCTGCCATGATCTGCCCGAGCAGGACATCCAGTGTCAATGAGACATGGCCTGTGAGGAAGCAGTATAAACAGTGCTGTAGAACCTTCCAACTTATGTTTCAATGATATGTCTTCATTGATACATGTTCGGAAAACTAATATCTTAGACATTTTTCGGTACCTTCCCTGCTTAAAGCTTTCCCTCGATATAAACATGCATTCGAAACAAACTTTATAATATGTTTTACCATAACATATTTGAAGGAAATTTTATATGAGTGTCTATATGCTCCGAATGGTGAATGAAACAAGAACATTATATTTACTCTGGTTCCTGAGAATGGCCAGAGCATGTTGGCTGACACAGTCTCTGCTGTAGCCCATCTCCAGGGCGCGGTGACACGCCTCCCGTTCAAGGACATCACCAGCGTCTGATGAAGAAATGATTCAATGGGCATTAAAATGCATACAGTGGATGTTAAATATACATCTTCATTAATTATTTAAGGCATTGTGCGTTGAGATGATAACCATACGAGTCAGTTAAAGGGAGATATGGAACTATCCATGCAATATTCCAGCGATATGACAGCGGTTAGAGATTATCAATCACTTTTACGAAAATTGTGTTCTGTGTGATTAAATACACGAATGTCTTCACAGTAAAATCAATATGATGTAGACTTAAGTGTAATACGTCCATCTTCATATTTTTAATTCAAAATGAAAAATGGTTTCTTCCATTTTGAAAACCGTGAGAAGATGATAACAATAACGTTACGTGAAATCATAACTTCGGCGACGTCATCACGCTATAGTGCAACAATGTATGTCTGTGTTTATAATAGTGTCTGCAATAGTGGTCAACAGTACCACGTAGTGTGTGAATACAACATTATACCGTTGCTACATATGGACTCACGTATTTCGAACGTTTAGGACAATACATATGTAACCGCTTTAATTTACCATTCGTATTTCCAGCTTGATTTCTGATTTCTGGTATGTCACGTTCCTGAAAGTAGACATAGAATATGGAGTGAATGAATGAATCAGTTAACACCGCTTTGAACAGTATGTCTGCTATATCAGGTCGTGTCAGCTTCATGTAGGTCTGAGACACATACCATTGTTGTGACACTCACAACCACCATGTACCAGTCCCCCATCCTTCACCCCCACCCCGAACAATATTATTGTGCATATCGACAGATATGTGCCTGTTGAGCTTAATAGGTAATCTGACATACCCTGCTTCTCTCCCCTTCCTCCGCAAGTGTCTGTGTAATAAATGCTTCTCCTTTGATGGCTCTCACATAGGCACAAGACGCCCTCCAACGCACATGTTCCACCCAAGGGTTGTCTCCCTTCTCCCACGTCTTCAGACCAATACCGCACACGAAACATCGCACACAGTCAGGGAGGCCTGTGGGGGAGAATTAATTTGTTTAATAGTTAACTAAACCTGTGGTATTTATAATCATAAAATGGTATCATTTCATTCACATTAGCATAACCCTTGTCTTATTATTATTAAATGAATTTTTTCTTACTGAAATTCAGCATTTTATAAATCTGAATTCCAGGTTTAAATTCTGACCATATAAGGTAACAACCTCCATGTGGATCAAAGCATTGTTTTTACCTGCATAGAAGAAACCAACTTGAACAAGTTCTTCTGGTTTCTTGCAATGTTCTTTGGGCCACAGTAGGAAGGATGAAAGTCTAGTTGAGATGTCACAGTAGTTGGGGTAGATGGCATTGTCAAACCTCAGAGATATCTTTTTATGAAGCCCTGAGTTATATCGTGTCCCGGTTGCTGAATCAGATTGTACAGTAGACTCCCTTCTTTGTAATTGTGCGCTAACTGCTCCTTCCCTTGAGGCAGGCAGAACAGTTATAATGTTGTCATCTGTGACAGATTCATGGTTTGTATGGATTCGTGAACTGTGTACACCTTCATCAGAAACAGACGGAAATGCTACTGTGGCATCATCTTTAACCGATTCAGCTGATGATTTGTATTTGTTGTATGTAACTACGTGTAAGTTAGGATTTTCCCGAGCACTTCTTGTTGCTGATTCGATACCAGCGCCACTTGTTGAATCGGCCTCCAAGCTTGACAGAGTATCATCCGCAGTGGTTATTATGTTTGGATCTTTGTGCATGACAAGTGTCAAACTAGCATCATCTGATGAATTAGCCAACGCGACTGGTGGTGATGTAGTGTCGGCTATGGGAGGAGGGTTAATCGGCACAGTTATTTGGTCAGTTCCCATGGCATGAAGACAGGTTGGGGAAATCTGTTTGTGGATGATGAAGATGTTGTCCCCCTGTTGCCAGCCCCTGTGTCTGATTCCGCAACTGAAACATCTGGTCTCATCCCTATCGCCCGTAGCGTAGAATCCTGCGGCTGCTAGACGAATGCAAGATGCGTTTACATTGATACCCGAAAACGAACTAAGCCTCAAGCCCTCATATGCCATCTTTTCATCATTTGAAACATGTTCATGATTAGCGATCTTTACAAAGTAACCTTGTAAAGAAAGAAAAGGTGCAACAGTAAGTGTTTGGAGGGATTGAATATAGCTGTTCATATCAATATGACGAAAAATGTCTTTGGAAGGGAGTTTAGACTCGACTGATTCCTCGTCTTTGTCTGGAAAAGTACTGCCATGGTGGTCCAGGTACTTATTTATTTCATTTTGAGTTGTACATGTACCGCCATACTCTTCGTGTGTTTGTTGGAAGTCACAATCACTGACATTGTATAGAGCGCACAATTCACTAATTATGCGTGAAGTCTCTTTTATATCACATTCAAGTGGCGTTGCTCCACGTTCCTTTGCAACAAGTGCCCGTCCAGTATCAGCTACCAATCCACTAGACGCCCTTCGACTGTCTGAGGGATGGCTATGTTTTCTTTCCTTTGGATATGGGGTATGAGAACCAGTCAATCCTTTGATCGCTTCAAATTCCATGTCAGGGAATAATGTTTGCTTGTGTGAGCTCACTCGTCTATCGTTCATCATACCTTCTGGACACTGCTTCCAACATGTATAGAAATTTTCCTTTTCTTTTGCCACATGAGTCTTTCTTTTCCAATCATTCACAAACTGATTATCCCCGAAACCGCTTTCAAAATGCTGTTCAGATTCTGCTCGACTGCATAATGATTCAAAGAGCAGCGATGTATAAGAACACATAACAATATCATTAAAATGCAGTCGGACTAAAGATTTTGAAACATGCCATCCATTACGAAATTCACTGCGTTCTATATCGGAATGTCTTCCTTCTTGTGAACACTGCTTCGATAGTTCCCATTGTGTATCAGTTTCATTACCAGTGATAGGGGTTTGTGTATCACATTTGTCCTCAACATAAGCTATTGTTGTGTAGTTGGTTTGTTCTTCCTCCTTGATGTTACACCCTTCTGGTTCGGAATCCATCTTATACATAGGAGCATTGTAATATATGGCAGTACTGCCAACGTACTTCTTGGTTGTGATCTGGTTGTTTAACAACTCATCAGTTCTTTTGTGTTGACAGTGATGAGGAGCTGTACATCCTCTGTGCCATGTTGCGTCACTTTTCTTTCTTCCATGATGGATCGATGTTTTTTGATGGTTTGAATCCCATCCGCCATATTCAATGGTCTTAACATCTATATTTATGAATGAATATCTGGCACTGATCATGATGGAGTCATATTCATTTATTATTGTGTTCTGTGATGATTCTTGCAATTGTGGGTTCAAACATGACATTGACAAGTTATTGCCTGCACTGTGGCTGATGATCGTCATTTTAGTTGATTAAGCTTGCTTGGAGGTGCCCAACTCTGCTCAGAACGATACTTCAATGGTGAAACTGTCAACTAGAAAATATTACATAATTAATAAATATTTTTATTAAATGAAATTTCATATTGTCTCTGACTATTTGTATCTGTACCTAGTTCACATTCTAAAATCGTGGCACTTGAAATGGACGTTTCGTAGTACCAGACTGCAGGGGAATTTGGATAAAGGTGGTAACAAACACTGCTGACATGTATTGAAGATTCCCTAAACATTGATAACACCATGCGTACTCCTCATCCAGAGGTCGAGAAGGAAAAATACCACGTTCTCATTCATGAGCAGCACGTATATATCCATTACTGTATATCCCTGTTGATATAAAACCCAGTTATGTTTCTAGTTTTCTCAGCACGATGCCCGTCCGTGTGCCTTTCGCCAAAGTGGTAAACGTCGAAGACCTGCAACACTTCGGGCTTTCCACACGCATTAAAGTAACACGCCGTGATATATCTTGAATACGTTCAAAGCGGCGTTAAACCCAACTCACCAACACTATTGATACAGAACCCCAACATAAGAGACATCATACGATCCAAACATATATTGCACCTTTATACACGTTAAGTTTAAGTTTATATTAATAGTCGTGTGTATGTTTGTTTTTATATGAAAACACCCAGCAAACATAGGTATATAATATGTTAGCATTAGCATCTTTTGGAATCTCTATCATTACACTCCGAATGTGTGAATAAGGATTTACGCCGCTTTGAGCAACTAGTTTGTGTACGTACAGCGTAACCCTGAGAGATTCGAACATCTGTTCCCAATAATAGTGTGATTTAATCAGTAACATGTCTTAGTCTGAGTTTGTATGAACAAATATATATATATATATATTTACTGTAATGTTTCCAACGGAGTCGACAGGTTTCGCTCTCAAATCAGGTCTCAGTTAATTACAACTTTTCGTAACTATACTGTATTGATAAAATGTCCAATCTCACGTACATTATAAACAGAGCAATTATTATAGATATGTCTCAGGCGAGTAATACCGAGGGTTGCAAATCAACATAACCATCGATTCAGAATATATAGACAGGGAAGTAACACGAGGTACTACAGCTAACAACACAGACATCTGTCGTAATTATGTATTGTAACATATGGTTGAACTGGCTCACAACAGTGAATATTTCTAAATGACTATTCTAAAATGTCACAAACCTCACCACACATTCTTTGTATGAAACAAACCACCAACCTTACACGAATTAAACAGACATCCAGATCTGATGTATTTCCTCAGATTCAGACTCTTCAACACAGAGTCTACTTGTCGCAGTACAGGTTACATTTAATACCACCTTCGGTCACAACTCATGGCTATTTTAAGACTGGTTTCCCAACTGGTTCAAATATGTTGCTGTTTAGATATTTAGAATAAGTGTGACATAATAACCTTGCACGAGGCATTAGTAAAGAAGAAAGAGCATAGTGACCGCAATCCCTCATTGTGTAATATATTACTCATTCTCTTGGGTAGGCTTGTACATCGGGTTGAAGGAGGCCTTTGGTGTTGATTCTGTGTAGTTTTACACAGGAAGTATTGCAATACGTCATAATCAATATCAGTGAAAACTGAGGGAAACTCCCGCCTGAGTTGGAGGGAGCTAATTGATCTGACACGATACTATTATTTAGATTCATTCCAAAACTGTCTACCACATACTGAACGCGGTTTGTATTTTGTGACCGATATATGGTTATAAATATCCTAAGGTTATACCATCACAATGTGGAATGTCACAAATAGTGAAAATATTCATTCAATAAAAATGTCTACTCGCTGGAGGTTCAGTCCCATCACGGGTGTTATAGTCTCATTTATACCGTATTAATGATAATGTATGAATTCTGTGGTTGTCCTTTACAAGTAAAGTTGATTATCGAGTAGATTAATAAGATGGATTATTGAACATTCATATATGACTTTTATAATCGATAAACACAACGTCTTTTAGTGATAAAAAGAGTGGGTAATAAGTCAGGCTTGAGGATTATATCAATACATATTCACATTCTAAAACGGTAGCAATTCAAAGCTGTATTTGATGTCATTGTAACCACAGGCACAACTGTGAACATTTTCAAAACGACTACTCTAAAAATAGATCCATGTCACAAACAATCCTTACGACACGTTCATAGTTTGAATCAGACAACCCACCTCACACGAATCAAACAGACATCCACAACAGTATTTCCTCAAACTGCAGTAACATAAAGTCTGGTTTAGATGTACAGGAAAATTCATTTCATATTCTGTCACACGTCATTGCTATTTTAAGGCTGGTTTTCCCCGTAACTGATTAGCCTGTGGTTTACAATATGCCTCATAACTAATGGAACACAACCGCCTTGCACGAAGCATGAATAGAGTAGACAGAGCATAAAGACATCAATCCCTCCTTATGTTGTACACGAAGTTTGGGCTAGCAAACCAGCAGTTGACATTGTAAAATCGTCCGAAGTCGTCTGGGTACTATAACAACCAACCAAAATACCAAACCTGACCGACATCCGATGATCGCATAGTGATTGTGGTCGAAGTAACAATTACAAATTGATATTTATACAGAAATTTGAAAATACATAATATATTATCAACCATAATTAATTATATAGAATTAACAACGAGACGATAGCCCTCATTAAAATACACGGAGTTGTGTGTTTGAATATTAATTAAATTGCCTTTAAAACTTTATGAACACTTTTTATGAAACAACAGTGTTAAACATTGTAAAGTAAAAACATAATAGCTATAGATTGTAACTATAAAAGCATAGTTCGAAGTTCAAGATCTCCTTGATGTGGTTATCGTGCATGAGTGACCCAGTAATTTGAGGCCCCACAACTCGTTGTGGAGATTTGCATCCTTTAGACCTGCCAAAATCCAATGATGGTTGGTTCATAACCAAGTTATAATGCTGATTCTGTAGCAATACAATGCCCGTATTTCATCAGTATCGAAATATCAAAGACGTGCATCACTTCAGCCTTTCCCCCAACGTCAAGCTCATACACGCGATATAACTGATATTATGTTCAAAGAAGCGTTAAACCCCAACTCACCCAATCCTTGTTTGTTTCATTAATTTAGTCTTTCTTCCAACTTAAGACAAATACATAAGATGTGTACACATTGCCTGGATACTTGGAATATACAATGACTGTGTATCTTCACTCTGACCTTATCTTGTGCGGAGGGTGTATGTGGTAATCACTCGCGACATCGAGGGTACACTGACATTGCTGCAGTATGTCTGTCAAAGAAGGCAATGGGTTGCGTGAAAATCGGACATTGCTGGGATCTATTCTGTGTTTCTGTCTACAACCTCGAAGATGAATATGAACAGGTCTATCCCCTCGTCTCCAGTTACTGTGCCTGATGCCGCAGCTGAAGCATCTTGTCTCGTCCCCATCTCCTGTAGCATAGAAGCCTTCTCCAGAAAGAACTATGGCTGACATTTGAACATTTGATCTGCTAAAGGACTTCAAACGCATTGCCTCTAAACGCATTGCGCGCTGGATTGGTACTCCTTGTCTTCTCACCAAAGCTTCAAAGTCACCACGCAAACTAATTGAAGACATAGTTCTTGCTTATGTTAACTTTATAAGTTCATTACAAACTATATGCCCAGAGCACAGAGAGGCGTGTCCGTATCTAGGTGTTAGGATCAATACTCTCCAATCTACCTGTTTGAATCAATCCTCTCCAAAATTCCAATCTCAGATTCCCATATCTGAAATATTGAAATATATATAACGTCAACATCAGAAAATAACCAGCCTCGACTGTCCGACGAAACAGATTCCAAAAGGCAACATAGCGTTAAAAGTAATATGAATAGATCACTGAAAATCAGTGATGACACCAGGTGTTCACGAAAAAGGCAAGCATATCCTGCCCCACAGGTAGCACCCCCTTCTGCACAATCTGCATGAAGGCAATCTGCTTGTCGCCTGACGCTACACGTACAGCAGTTCCTGATTACTATTAAACAGCAGTCCCAAGGCAACTAGGACATGCTAGGGTTAGACCCACCCCAGAACATAAATAAATAAATAACAGAATCAGCCCCCCACCCCTACTCACAATCTTCCAAATCAATTCAATGCGTCTCTTCTAGATTACGAGATCCATCTAGCTTTGCCTTTGAAATAGGCCCGCGGCGTTCTTTGCCCTACGATATCAATAAACATGAATAAACTCACATGTAACCGGACATGTCCTGTCAATACAACACACAGCGCTGCACACTATTATTTCAGCCCCTTCAGCCTCGTCGATATGAATGGCTATGCAGTTAAATGCGTATGCGGGGAATTCCCTTAGACCATGTATGGCGATATACGAGACTCTCGCGCATGAAGCTAGCGCGTGGTCCAATTGAACGGCGTCTGCCTCTCGCAAGGCGCGAAAAACAAGCTTCATCAGGAATTTTTCAGATAAGCTAGCTGGTGCATTCTTTGTCACGTTTTGATTCCTGTCACATTGTGTTTGTGTTGTTGCCAGTTCTATTACAGCGTTATTGACGTTAGCGGTACATAGTGTTCACCACTACTTTTTCCCTCTGCCTCTCGTTTCCTTTAACATTTCGCTAACACTTGACGTGATTGCTGCCCGCGGGTTTTTTCGATTGACATGTGACAATTGCTGTCTGAAACTTGGAATAATCGAATAAAATAATTTCGATTTTCCTTAACGCAGACCGAATAATTTAAGGTCTTATGTTTTCAAACGTCTGACTAACATCTGAAGAAACTGGTATTTTAGGTTTTGAGTATTGAGTATTGAAGCTATGGGCAGTCAGTACGATTGTCGTATTCTACCCTGAAGCTGTGGACAGTCAGTGCGATTGCCGTATTGTAAACTGAAGCTGTGGGCAGTCAGTACAATTGCCGTATTGTAAACTGAAGCTGTGGACAGTCAGTACGATTGCCGTATTGTAAACTGAAGCTGTGGGCAGTCAGTACAATTGCCGTATTGTAAACTGAAGCTGTGGACAGTCAGTGCGATTGCCGTATTGTAAACTGAAGCTGTGGACAGTCAGTACGATTGCCGTGTTGTAAACTGTAGCTGTGGACAGTCAGTACAATTGCCGTATTCTACACTGAAGCTGTGGACAGTCAGTACGATTGCCGTATTCTACACTGAAGCTATAGACAGTCAGTGCGATTGCCGTATTCTACACTGAAGCTGTGGACAGTCAGTACGATTGCCGTATTCTACACTGAAGCTGTGGACAGTCAGTACGATTGCTGTATTCTACACTGAAACTGTGGACAGTCAGTACGATTGCCGTATTCTACACTGAAGCTGTGGACAGTCAGTACGATTGCCGTATTGTAAACTGAAGCTTTGGACAGTCAGTACAATTGCCGTATTCTACACTGAAGCTATAGACAGTCAGTGCGATTGCCGTATTCTACACTGAAGCTACAGAGAGTCAGTAGGATTGCCGTATTCTACCCTGAAGCTACAGACAGTCAGTACAATTGCCGTATTCTACCCTGAAGCTGTGGACAGTCAGTACAATTGCCGTATTCTACACTGAAGCTGTGGACAGTCAGTACGATTGCCGTATTGTAAACTGTAGCTGTGGACAGTCAGTACAATTGCCGTATTCTACACTGAAGCTGTGGACAGTCAGTACGATTGCCGTATTGTAAACTGAAGCTGTGGACAGTCAGTACAATTGCCGTATTCTACACTGAAGCTATAGACAGTCAGTGCGATTGCCGTATTCTACACTGAAGCTACAGAGAGTCAGTAGGATTGCCGTATTCTACCCTGAAGCTATAGACAGTCAGTACAATTGCCGTATTCTACCCTGAAGCTGTGGACAGTCAGTACAATTGCCGTATTCTACACTGATATATATATGCAAGCATCCAGGTCGGATTAACGGGACCTGACGGAATATTGCTGCCGCTTAGGGGAGTCATGGGAGGAATAGGTGCCAGGTATCCCTTACTTGTCGTAAGAGCCCACAAACGGAAAATGTATAATGGGTATGTGTGACTTGACTGATTGCATGTCTTCGAGCCCCAACTGATTGACTTGTCCAGACATGACTATTTACAAGTCATCATCATACAACTGGAATATTCCTAACCGGTGTTATATATATCAACGCCAGAGAATAACCGGTCTCGATTATCCGACGACACAGATTCCACTGTGCTGAAGGCAAAAGGCAAAATTAACACACCCACACTCACTAACTTGATGTCAGTGACAACATCATGAACTACGATGAATTACAAAACACATACTTTACCAACAAGTGAGATTTATATAGGTTGTGTTGATACTTGCTTACACAATATATAGATATACAAATACTTTACAAATCACAAACTTTCAAAGTTCCGTTTAAGCTTTTATTAGTCCAATGTCTAATATGTCTAGTATTAGGATAATGCCAATATGAGTCAGTTAGGAACCGCCTGAACAAACCAGTAACTATTGAACAGTGCTGATCATAGTGCAGCTTAGTATATCAGCACACAGGTGAGGTGAGGTGAAATGGGGTATAACGTCGCGGTCAAGATTACTGCACTTATATAGCGACGTGCATAGTGTGTGTGCGGCTGCTTGTACTAGTCTGATGCCGATTTACAGCGCTAGCCCACTGATATACCATGCCGCAGTTTAACATGAAAACCCAACTCAGACACTCAGACACAGTGGTGTGAAACCATACTCAGTTCCTCACTCGCAACACACAGCGGGAAATAGCTGAAGTAGTAAAGAAGATAAAATTGTCTTTTGTCCATAATTTAAATATTGTGCAGAAACAGATTCATAACTGTCAAAAGACGTATCCACATTACCTTACAATTGGAGAAGCCCATTACCCTATTTCAAACCCACAAAGATGGGTTCATATTAAGCTTTGTGTGGGATACCTAAAACACAACATAACAGGTCACTCGCTTTAACAAAGAACTTCATTGGTATAAATGGTTCTTAGGTGCTTAGTTGTTTTACCCTATCATCATAGTGGGGGTAGACAGCGGTGGCAAATGTAAGAGTTGAAGATGCAGGTGCTGCATTTCCTGAAGTGACTTCCACCTCTGTCAGCTGTGAAGGGGCACACTGTTCCGGACAAAAGATGTGTTGACTTGATGGAATTATATCTGCTTCCC